TATGAAGTAAGCAACACGGTCTCATCAATGGCGAAATTTCAGGAGTCCCATTTGGCATCTTCTTAGAGTGGAGAACTTTTTGATTTCTCTTACAAGAAGAGTATACAGCATGTAGTTTGGAAACCCTACGCAGAAGTGCAACTGCAGGCAGCGGTTAACAAAAGTTTCAAAACTGAAATATGCTATTTCGTCCAGTATAAACTTAATAGACGCAATTTGCTACCATATGAATCCAAGAAAGAATATTGTTAATTATGCTATCTGTCAAATATGTAGTAAATTGTGAGAATTTTGAAAATTAGTGGGAAAAATTAATATTACTTAAGAGCTCACCATGGGAAGAGATGCAAATGTGATGTGGATGGCCTGCGGGTATGTCTCTACTTGGGCCGACGTAAGTGCAAGCCCCTATGGCTGACATTAATTGTCGTCCCCATCACGACGTGCGAGAGTCTTGTGGAGAAGGTCCCATGAAAGCCGATAGGTGGACACAATTAAGTGATGTTGTGTTTTCACTGAACAAATAGCTCCTAGCCGTAATGGTTTTAAGTGAGGGTCTGTGTGGTTGACAGTCCTACTTAAGGGGGATGCTGCTTAGATATTCACATCGTTAACTCCTGGAAAAGGTGACTTGAACACCGGCTTTCACTCCTTTCACGTAGCTAAAGAAGATAGTTCGATGATCAAACCTCGGTAAGAGGAACAAATAAGAGCACTAAACGTCCTCACATCCATTGCACAAGTGTATCCTTGCTTAGTAGGGCCGGCTGGAGTGCCTTTGTTTTCCAGTTGACCATACTGTTAACCTGCCAGAAAAGACTTATTTCTGTTCACACACGGAATCGCTTGATAAAGAACGAAAATTGACGCTTAAGATGAGGCGGCTTTTCGTATAAAATCGACAGTCTTCACCGGAAGAATGAATGACGTAACGCTGCATTTGCATTTACGAGAAAGGGTAGTGACAGCAAACGGTCCCTTAGTGCAAACAGAATAAGTCATCGACACGGGATAAGGATCCCCGTGAATATGTTCTAAACCTAATGCCTACCCTAATTCAAACCTCAACCCTAATCTGAAAGCCAGATCTAAACATAACCCTAACCCTTTCCATAACCTTAACATTAAGGCTAACTCTCCTGGAACCTAGACTAAACTCTGGAATAAGGGGGCCCATATTCCCACATCCGGGCGTCTACGCTCGCTGAAAACAGACTTGTAACCGTGAACGACAGATTCTACTATAGACTTCATCTTTATCTTCCTTCTAGTTCGAATGAATACAAATGTACTTTCCTCTGACTTTTCAGCGGGCATTTGTGAATGAACAAAGCCGCATGCAACAACGCACTCGGTCGTCTCAGAGTGGACAAATGAAACAGAGAGTTCTCATGAAGAACATCGTTTTAGGTTCTTGAATCTCAAGAAGACCTAACGGATGTGCTCACGTCAGTGTCGTCTACAAATACCAGACTGCGGTGTACGTTGATAGGAAATTTTCAATATGGTTTTAAATGGAAGGCAAATGTAGAGGGAAGCTGCAAAGTTCAATAGTATGCATTGTATTTCTTCGACAATCAATGCGTCGCAACTCACCGGTGCCTGGTCACCTACGTAGATTACGTCAAAAGAGGCGTTGTGTTTAGTTTTCCGCTAATTCCTATCACTTGTATAAATGGAACCATATTCGCCTGAACGGCCGTGCAGAATTAAAAACACTGATTCTCAGCATATGAAAAGGTGAGATAATCTTGAGGAAGAAGAAGGCACGATCGTCGGGACAAGTGCTTTATTAGCCTGACGTTTCGGATTTCTGCTCGAATCCATCATCTGCTTTTGTCTCTGCTGATGGATTCGAGCAGGAATCCGAAGCGTCAGGCTAATAAGGTACTTTTCCCGGCGAGCGTGTCTTCTTCTTCAAGACTG